AATCTCACAAGAGGGGTTCAAGTGCCACAAAACTGGCACCATCTCAGACCAAAAGTGCATTCTATATGGGGTTTAAAGTTTCTCTAAATCGTGCAAAAAACTGTCATTTTTGTCAAATAAAAAATAAAAAAAATGGAGAGAAAACCAAAATATCGTGAACCACCAAGAGGTCAGAAGATGTGCAACATCAAGAAAAGTAAATAATGCCTTCATCACTTCCACTGCGTAATTGAAACAGCAGGAATGAATGGACTCAAGCGTCACCGGGCAGAAATTTATAATCATCATTCAGCTTGTCAGAGGAAGTAAGTGATAAAGCCACTTGGATGGCGACCAGAAACACCGGTGGAGGACGACCCAAGAGAAAAGAGGATCAGGTTTGGAAAGATGAAGTATTCGGGCAAACAATTGATGGAGGACCGATTGTCTCAGTTTGATGATTGGCCAATAAAATTGTTCATTCATTTATTGTTTACTAGATCGGTAATTTCAATTGCTCATAGATAAGACCTCCGCCATTATGGTAGTGACACCTTCCTCACCTTCGTCAGGCGTTTTGTGCATTGATAACCAATTCGATTTTAAGGTGGCAGAGTTTTGAGTTTCCATTTCAGCTGAAGTAGGAGCAGGATACGGAACCAAGCAAATCCATGTGGTTCCTTCTAGTGAAGTAAGGCTAGACCTAAGGTATACCTTCTATTTCAATTCCAAAAAAAAAAACAGATAGTCGAAACACAAAAATCAGCAAAGCTTTTTTTTGCTGAAACGCAGAAAAGAGACCTCTTGTCAAAATTGAGTGACCATGGCTACTAAAGCAACTGATTGACAGTAATGAGCACTTAACACAAACGACTTTGCAGGTGCGAACGCCTAAAAAGTGAGTTGGTTTCTTTCCACGTAAAAGGGACGTTTTCTTAGCCAGACAAAGGGGGTTAAACACAGTTTGCATTATGAGGGTGGGAAGCGGAAGGCCAACGCCTCTCCATTTGGCCCATATGCCTCCTTTAGAGGGCACGACTGACCACATCTTCGAATGCCAAGAGGAAGGAAAAATGCTTGTCCACCGTGTGCTTAATTGTGAACTCGAGAATGACCATGAAAGGACTGAATTTCATACCTCACTCAAATAATGCCACCCAAAGTACCACAACACAGTCGTCAGACCAGTTTCCTCTAATCCACCAAACAATGGTTACTTATTGTTTTGAAAGGTCTTAATGTGGAGATTTCACATTCGCTTGCTGATGGCAGATAGGGCAAAACAATTGTCATACGAACAAAACTGCGTTTGTGGAATTAAAAGCGCACATGCTGACACAGAAGCCACATTCATCTCCTTAAATGGTTTCAAAGTAAATAGTCCTGCGCAGATCCTATTAACAGCAAAGGGGAATGCCATTTGCGCTGGAATGCAATGTAGTAGAATCAGTGATGGTGAAAAAGATGGACGTAGGGAACAGAACGTGAAAATTAACGAGGTGCAAAAAGTGTAAGCAGAGGCAAAGCCAAAGGTTGAGGCAATACCATAAGTCATTTGGCAATTTTTCTCCTATCCTACTTATGTCAAAGGCCTCATGAATGAACTAATACCGTGAAGAATGGTTAATGCCTACATGGGTAGAAACACCAGCCAACATGGCCGTTGGATACAAAGAATATGACCTCACGTAAACAGTAATTATCTCGGATAGGAAGATAGGGTGGCCCTAAAGGATGCAAATTAAAGACTGTGCTTGAATAACCCAGTGAAAAGCAATTTGATGTGGGTAGAGGAGAAAGACTTCACGAATCAAACAAGAAAAACAGCACGAAGTTGGTTGAAGATAGAGTGTAGGCAGGGAAGGCCGAGAAAAGGAAATTTATACGAGCTGAGATGAAGCGTGATTAAGGCTACTTGAAAGTAGGATTTCGATTTGAAAATTAGCGTATTTGGGGGTAGTACACACAGGGGGATGGATGATAAATGAAATAAAGGAGACCAAAGAGTCTTTGGGGTGAAGCGACGATCTCCAAATGGAGTTATCAGGTGCAGAATCAAATGACACTTGTGGCATTAAATGGGTGAGTAACTGTGTCCGTTCATTCCATATCCAATGTTTAGCTTCGAATTACTTCACACACTCAACCTCATTAAGTTCTTCCCCTATCCAAAAGGTGCACATTAAAAATAGGAGCGTTAATAAAGTTCGGCTGCGCTGCCGCGGCAGGGGAACAACTCAAAGTATTGAAAAATGCATGCATGAACATTGCAGTCTTGAGTGTAGAACAGAAAATAGTGAAAACAAAGAAGTATCGTAAATTACATATGTAATGCCTGATGGGGTGAGGATACCTCCAATTAATTTGAGAACAAATAATAATTTTGCATTGAAAGCGTGTAAGAGGGTTGACAGACCTTGGAGAGCGGCCTCAAGCCAAGCCCCACCTTGCAAGAGGCGAAGGTGAAGTTTTCAGTGGAGAATGACGTTGGCCAAAAGAAATAGCTCGAGTTTCAAAGGTCGTCGAAACCGGGGCAGCAATTGCATTTTGCCTACCAAATACGGCCTCTGCGCCCTCATTGTATGAACGGTGAAATCGGACTTAATTTAGCCAAAGTAGAACGAGAAAAGAGCTTTTGAGTTTTGGCGCTTCCAGGGCCATTGAAGAGGACGACGATAAAAAAGTAAAAAGGATGATTTGGATTTTTAAAAACACCAATGATTACAAACCTCCTATTGAAAATGAAGGCAAAGTGACAACGCCATTAGCACGATTTTCGTCCTCAGCCGGATATCAGTGACATGAAATTAATTAAACCATGAGAGGAAAACAACACAGTCTCTTGCCTGTCTGAAGGAAATAAAAGTTTTTTTCCTATTAGCGCCAAATATATGTGCTGTACTAAGGTCTTTATTTGAGCCGGGAGTTACAAATAGGAGACATGCGTCCCTTATCGGTTCATGAGACCCGGTTGTACCGAATAATGCATAAATTCACTTAAACATGTTCAAAGAACCAAAACGAATGTGAACTGCCTTTGATTTATCTTTGACTTTCTGCAACAGAAAAAATTGATGGAAAAAGTTCTGTCGAATCTTATGAGGTGTGGCTGGCGGTTTCACCAAACATTCAGCAGCAGCTTGCTAGCCCGCATGGTTAACAGCCGCGGAAAGTGTTCGCATGACTCCTCCATTGCTAGTACTGTAGGCAATTCGTTCCTAGCATTTGCAAATACACACACACACATACAAGTGCACAAATTTTACATCTCTTTTGACCTTTCCACACCAATAATGCTAGCTGTTGCTTTGTGGTTGCGGACCACAAGTGAAGATGGATATGCGGTGACGGAAGTGCGCGCTTGTGCTACAAAAACAAAAGAAGACTTACGATGTAACGGAATGAACCGTCTCTGAGAAAGCTTGTTAATTCCACCGCAAATCAGGATTCCCATCACGATGGCAAGAGAGTCAACAATATTGGCACCCAATTTGTGCGCAGTTGAGCACCACACAAAAATACCAGATGGCAAGTTTTCTACTCTCAAACGGACTACTTTTCCAAGTCTATTTACCTCGCTTACGGGTTTAACCCAGGAGGAAAAGCAGGAAATTGCACTTTAAGGAGCTATTGCAATGTAAGAAGCATGGAACTGAGAGAAGGATTATTGCATAAAAGATAACCCAATTGCACTTGAGACCTGAGTTTTATTACGCCATTTTGTAAGCGGTTGATTGCGAACTTCATGGACTTATTTATGTACGAGAATTCACGAGAAGTGATAGCATCAAGTCACCGCCCTTCCGCCCAGCATGCCGAGGCAGTGGCAAGGCACGAAGGAAGATGGAAGAAAAAAAGAGGCGAAATAGAGGCAAGGAATAACTCTCGATCAATTTGAACACATCTACCAGCAGTTAAGAGGAAGTACCAATTAAAACAGTTAATAGTGGGCATGTGAAGGGAAAGTCCAACCCAAACCGAGACTTTTGAACTAGCAAAATAAGCAACTTTAAAAAAAGGACAAATACGCGTGAATGTCTGCATGTGTAAACACGTCCTCCGACATTGAAAGTTGCAGCAACCCAGAGAAGCCGTCTATACTGTAAGTTTCAAAAAACACTGCGATCCTTCGAGAATCCACCTTTAATCACACGTTATGATGTGATAAGTACGTTCTTGTATTTTCCAAACACAACACACTTTAAATCGCTAGAACACCCATCAGACCTGCAGTAGCAGTCTGGACACATTAAGCGAAATTTAGACGACCAAAATGCTCCAAGCGAAGGCCCAACGTCCACAGAAGTGATTATCCAAAAGCTGTGGACTAGTGATGAAATCACCATGATCAAAATGGACACTGATGCACAGACGTTGACATCATTTAAGCGTCCCACTACTCAGCTTCCGATACATCTTAGTACCGTTGTGAAACCCTCTGTGTGGGTTAACATGGGCAGGTTTTTCTCGAAGGATCTTGTTCCTTACTATCTTGATACCGTTTGGAATGGCTCAAGATAGGCCTAACGGCCACTATTAAAAGGGTGGCATGCTCGCGACCGCTACAGTCGTCCCCAGACCTCCGATTCTTCATCCCTATTTGCACCGCCTATAAAGTTGCTTCGGCGCTTGTACATTCTGACACGATAGCCAAAGCAGTAAACTGAAAAGGGGCTGCCATCACCTAGTTCGCTTTCACAGAGGTTTAGAACAGGAATAAAGCTGAAAATAATCGTCTAACACCATAACCACATCCCTTGTGGAAGATCAAAACCTAGGAAAAGTTCCTTATTTGAAGTGGGCCGGCGATCCACATACATTTGGCAACGTTTGTCGTATAGAGGCTAGACAGGACCGGGTCCCCAGAAATAAATAGGGAGCAAAGTGAACGACTGGAAAGAGTCCAAACGAAACTCTTGACTAGTAGTTTTATGCAATTCTTTTACAAAAAAAACAAATAACCTGAGAAAAGTATTGTGCTGATGCCACCAATATGACATGATGTGGAAGTTATTAATCCTTTAAGCCCACCACAAGTCCAAAATCCCTTGCTCGAGGTTACAACTGTTGAACTCACCATAATTGTAGGCATTGATAAACATTTGAGTAACGCTCAAGACGCCACCGATAAAGTCGAGAATGAAGTTGCCCACACTCCAGCCGACACAACTTCGACGACGACAGTTGAGAATTAGCTGTGAATGAATGGAAACAGCAACGATAAATAAGAGTACAAACGACGCATGACTGTCGCGAAGTCAGCATGATTGTAGCACCTAACATCTTCAATGCCACATTCATTCATGAATGTGCTCTGATTTTATGAAGTCGTGTATCTCCTGTAAATCAAAACAACGAGATTGAGGAAACTATTAGTCCGGATTGGCTTCCAGATTGCGTGCACTTAGAATTACAATGCTCCACGCACTCATTCCTTCAGACATTCTTTTTCAGCTTACGATGACGTCGGTTGCGTCAAGTTGTATTACAGAATAGTTTTAAAAAGTGGCCTAAAGTATTCACTACTCCATTTTGAAAAGTGCAGCTGTTAGGTTTGGTGGCATGAGAATTGATAAAGGGTTGGAAGTGAGAACCTGGATAACATAAGGCTTAACCAGAAACATGGACAGCCGCCAATGACGAAGGCGACACCGAGGGACGATGGAAGAGTACATACGAGTCCGGACTAAACGATTGACAAAATGAGGTAACATAGTTGTGCGAACAATGTGAGGCATGAGAAAACCGTAGTTATGCAGCATCAAACATAAATGGTGGAGTGGGGTACTCTCGATTGGGTGACAAGAAGTTTTCGAAAGTGACAAGGAACTAAGAAATGGATCAGATTTGCATTTTGCAAACAAAAATGGACGAATTTCCGCGGGACGAAAACGCCTAACCAACTTGTTCTAACTTGTAGCCAATGCCAAACTTGCTGCCGCAGTCGAATCAAGCATTGGCATTTCGAAGCTGAAGCATTAGCTTCTACTTTCAGCTGCTCATTCCATCGATCTTCTTTATCAAGTCGACCAAGACGACTTCGCACTGGTATCTGGAGAGTACGATGCCTTGGCCTTGGTTCAAACTGCTTAGTCCTGCAGGATAAGAGACTTCAACGTCCGCATTTAGTCTATTTGGGACCAGTTTTGGGGACTCTAGGAATAGCTAAGATTCGTAGTTTCAATGATACGTACTGTTGGTTTGATGAGCAAGCTTTTACAAAAGAGGCCGAGTACACTAAGGGTCGTTAAGCGTTCAACGGTACGCCTCTGGAAGACCGATCACAACTTCAAAGAGGGATAGAGTGAAGTGTCAGGTTGACCAAACCTATTACAAACCCTCCAAATTGTCAATCTTCGTGCCATTAACGTCACATATCATCAGAACAACTGAAAATTCCCAAGAAGCATTGCGCATAATTTGAAATGATACTCATATGACTTAGCTGAATAAACGCACAAGTTCACAACCTAGGTGTAAAAAGAAATTATTGGTTTACTTTCCTACTAAACACACCAGGTCATGAGTACTTGGACCCGGAGTTCACCTCGAAACGTTCAAATCGGTAGAAAATCAGAATGTTCAGTTCTAAGGCGTCAAAATGCTCCCACAACGGCAGTAATGGTGGCGAGTGTGGTGAAGGTACTCCAAAACATTTGTATGCATAAATCACGAGGAGTCTGAAGCAAATGTGGCCGAAGTGTTGACCTTTAGGTAGGTGCATACTGAGTGCCGTGCTTTTCTGATTTGCAAGAAGCTACTTCGCTTTCGTGAACAGATGTGAAGGGTCCTTGTCAGCATTTCGAAGATGCGAAATCACATAAGAGGAGACATGTTCTTTCAATTCAGTACGAAACGTTTTAAATTTCACGCCAATTGATAGTTAGACCCTAAGGAGATGTCCCTTACCATACCAGATTTTCATCTGTTAACACCGCTTAGACAAGGGATTAAAATGGTATTCAAGGCACTGACTCATGCAATAAGAAAGAAATAGTGAAAAGAAAAGCTCCCGGAGCCAATGGTTACTAGGCGGAATTCAAATAGCCCTACGAACAGACTAAAGCAAGAAATCGGTGGTTGAGACTAAGTGATTAAGGAGCATATAAAAGGTGAAAGACTGAAGTCGCGAATTCCATATAACAATTCTTCGAAGTCGTCACATACAAGCTCGGCCAATTGCATTAACATGACCTATCACACAAATTAATCATTCAGCCCTAACCTGAACGGATTGCAGGATCTCAACCTCAGCCATTTGAAGCTAAGAAGGTATTGTAAGTATTAAGGCGGGCAAAGTAGGTAGAAAGCTATTCCCTTCTGTTACACATAAAAAGAAATTCGAAGGAAAGAAAGACTGGAGAGATGATTCGTCCACCGAACGGAAAGGAATCGAGACATATAGACGAAAGAGTCCGACAAGATGAAGTAGTCGTGACGCGCAATATTGCAGTGTTTGAAAAAAAAAGTGTCCACCACGATACAGTGAGCCCCAACTGAGTCAGCACTATGAGATACTACAAAGAGTCAACTCATTTCCACGCCAGGAGGGAAAGAAGGAAGAGGAGGGACGAGTTCTGGCACAGACCTTCTCACTCCTGAAACCATGAAACAAGTCGCATCCGTATCGTGCTGCAGATCGAAGAAAGCTCTCTTCGAAGGAAATAGACATTCAATCTGTGGAAAGATGGCTGACTTACAGAAGGTACGGAAGGAGAGCAAAACAACGGAAATCTAACGCAGAAAAAGGTTAGCAGGTTTTCGTGCTAAAAGCAAAGATGAGATTCTTAAATATGCCTCATTCAAACCCAAAATGTGAAATTCCGATAGCTATCTTAAGGTTGAAAACACGAGCCGATTTGGCAACTCACAACTTTTGGTTGAATTGTAGAGAAAATATTTTCCTGGAGGTGGTTTAAAGTATTGTGTATGGGAAAAGCAAAAATGCACGGACCATAGTAGCATGCCCAACAAACCCCAAATTTCCTTGAAGATCTGCAATTCATTGCCTATGAAAAGAGGACCGAACGAAGCCAGAATGGTTGGACAACTTTGTGAATCCTTCAACGTCAAAACTGTCGTGCAAGTAATAATGGGACGATGGCATAAGCAGCACTCAGCTTTGACTAACTTCCAAACTGACATAACATCGCTTGGTTCGCTTCAGAACGGAAGCATAAAGTAGTCACAAGATATGAAAGACAAAAGAAAACATAGCTCACCTGCGGAAAGTACTTGATTAACGTGACAAAGAGTTTAACATAGGAGTAGAGGTAGAGAGCGGTGAGCCAACTGACGACACCAGCAGCTGCCAGAAGAGTTGATGTGAGGATGAAGAGGATCATCAAGCAGGAGAGTGCAATACAGACTTTTGAGACACGTTGGTTTCCCCTCTGGATAATGAAAAAAAGTGTACGCCTTATATGGACCGGGATCTTCAATTGTGTTTGGCAGCGTGAAATTATTCATGACTCCGCAACTCGATCCCCAGACTTGTAATACTTCGGTGATGACTTTCCAATCCTTCAATGGGCTAAATACGATAGCTAATCGCAAGCCGGCATTCCCTGTCGCACTTCTAGACTTATCCTGGCTACTGCATCACTGGCAGTAGTAAAGGAAAAAAGGGAACATAAGCAACCTCTTGCAGTCGGTTACATATGCTAAAACTCAGTAGGCACACAGTTCCTAGCCCCTGAGCAAGATCAACTCAGTTATAAAATCAAACCACTGATGACAAAGACAAGAGCATAAACATCGAATACAAGGCAGACACTACGTAGTAGAAGACCAGTTTTCTTTTAACCTAGTTCCTATCAGGTTAGATGTCACCTCCTTCACTCAAATCTTCTGCACAGTATACAACGCTTCACGACTAGCTCACTCGCCGAAGTGGATTCACGCAAGTCACAAACAAGCCTCATAATCAAGTAACACAGAGATTATGGCGAGTTCACACGAAATTCGGAACAATAGCGTTCAAACTTTGGAGAAAAATAAAACAGGCAGAAGTGTGAACTGCCGGTGCAGATTTATGGCCACCAAATGACCGCTGACTCACTTCGAAGAATAGGCACTGAATGATTACCACCAGCATCACGGCCACTCCATGAAGACTAAAGAAGAGGTCATTTATTTCAACCGGAATGACACCGAGAGAGTGACGTGCAAAGTACTGCTCCTGAGAAATGAATAAAAAAGTAATAGCTACTGAATTATTTAAATAGGGAAGGGACTCTATAGGGAGAGATCCCTCCAGTCAGAGGTGGTTAACCAAAGCCTTGATGACAGTTTTACCTGAATTCGGGAGACAAAAAAAAGTCCAATATTGAAGGCGCTGTAGCATGCGAAACCGATGATGTTGAAGACGACGAAGTCGAAACTTAAGCCTGTCACACTAGGAAAACAAGGCGAAAGACTCCATAAATATGCAAACACTTTTATTTGTGCCTTAATCGCAAATGGTAAAATACAAAACCTTGCATAGAAAACTGCATTTGAAGCCTCGTTTAAATTCAAAAATAACGTGCGAATCCTCAAACCACCCTTATGAATGTAAATCAACTAATTACAAGGGATTTATTCCAATCCGTACATAAAGGCAGGTAAGAAATGCATCCTTTCAATTTCAATCCAAATGCCCCCACCATGAGTAGAACATTTTCGTCGTTTCACGATACGACAAATAAAAATTTGCTAGACCAGTTGATAACAATGCTTCCCATCCCCATTCCGAAAAGGAGGTCAAAAAGTTAATCTTTTGCAATTATTTTTATAAATGAAATTCTGAACTCTGTCCAGAGAATGAAGGCGAGCCTAGTAAGTCCACAAGCACGGTTACCGATACGTCCCCTCCTAGTTTATCTGCCTGACTGCAGAAACTTAACTACCGTTTCCCGCCCTAGCTTATAGCAATCGAAAGTTCAAAATTAGATTGTAAACAGATTGATTGTGCTCAGAGAAATGAGGTTGATGTAGAATTCTCATACCTCAGGAGCAATGGCAGCAATTGAGTCGAGAACTCAAGGTTAAAATTGTGGAACCCAGGTGGGGAAGGTAGTGAGTTCAGTACACAAAGAACTACAACCAATAATTAACAATTCATTTAAGCACTTAAATCAACTTCCCTTAAGGAGACAGCAGGAAGACTAGTCACAACGATAACGGCGATACCCTTCAAAAGTAATCATTGCCCTTTGGCAGAGGAATCACAAAAGTAAACTTTCCAGGAGTTCTGAGAGCAATTTCTAGCGTAAGTATCTGATCTTAGAATATTTCGCATTCAAAATCAGTCCAGCTCATATGAATTCTGACACCCTCGATGAGACTAAAAGTACTAAACTCGCGAACAAAGTTGGCCTTCAATGTAGATTATTAGCTTAATAAACATGTGTACAACAGTAATAAATACATATAAGAGGAACAAATCACACAAATTCCAATCAGATTTTAATGTTCCGGCACTAATATTTATAGCCGGAACCATTAATCGAATAGAATTGTCGAAATTTCCCAAACGACCGAGATTATTCAACTGCAACTGCTCTAAAAGTCGCGACTTGGCACCTGCATTTGCAGTCACTTCAACGCACATGCTAAAAGTAATAAATCAAGAGAACCAAATATCATTCCAATTAATAAAATGATGATATGCACTACCGTCCGACACTCATAAGTAGTTGGTAAGAAAAAATAGCAAATTCAAAAAAGGAATGCTCAAGTCTGCCACGAATTTCAGGACTCACCTTTGTCGTCGACAGTTCAAGACGACTTGGGGGTAAAACGATAAGGTCCAAGCGAGAAAATAAGTCCAACCAACAATCTGCTGAAGTATTGACAATGACTTTTGGTGATAAACAGTTATCCTTGCGTGCAAACGCTCAAGGCTGCAAAAGAAAATAGATTCGACAATTAAAGAGTAAAATAGTCGAGCAGTAAGAGAGCCACACACTGTGTGATGCTGAGGTTTGATGAAACAAGACCAAGCTCAACTACACCGGGCTTTCGCGTAGCAATTGATGTTTGATACGTTCTATTTGAACCAACTTCAACTATGAACGGGTCCAGTGGTTTAATAGGTAGCTCTTCAGTTCTATTGATGTAAGTGCCTGCAACGTTTCGGTACGTGAACTTGAATGTTGAACGAACCGGCAAGGGTTCTCTAAAAATGGAAGAAATTCAGAGTATTATTATTTTCGAACTACAGGATTGCTAAGTAATACCAGCCATAAGCTAGACAAACAACAAAATAGATTCAAACGAACCTAAACTGGACGGAAAAACGTCTGTACTCTCCCAACGCCATATCAACCGAAAGAGGGTCAAGAACAACATCAGAAGCGATATAAGAATCATTTGTTAGTGAAAAGACAACCATGTTCGAAAGAAATAGAAGAACCCCGACTGGGGCCCAGAAACCAAGCGCTCTCATCAAACTGAGTAAAGAAGCCGGGCGCGAGAATGCCCCCGCGCTGTTCAGGCTAAAAGGCATTTAAGAATGCGGCTTTCTCAAGGTTGAAGCTGTTACGATTAAATAAATGGCATTTTAATGCTCACCGAAATACAGTCGAGTAGAGAGGACCAAAAAGGATCTGAAAATCATATATTAGTTGAACGGCTTTGTGTTGAGAAACTGCTGTGCAATCTGTAACATTACCGATATTTGTCAAAATTAATCAATCATGCTAAAACTCATCATTAAGTGCCGCGTTTATCATTATACTGTATACTGAGTTGTAATACTGATAAACAGAACTGTTCATTGAACACTATAAGGCTCTGTGCTAAACTCAGAATCTTTCATACCCTCTTACCTTAAACATGACAGCGAATTGCCCTACTGTTTTACGAGCATGCAGAACTCTAACAGACCGATACCTTTTTAGCTTAGCTATTCGCAGTATCCCACCTTATAGACGAATGGAATACAGTACATATGAAGCCTCGAGATCCCCCACGACTTGGAAGAAGGCATTTAGTTGGGCTGATTTCGCATGTTTTAGGTGGGGATGAAGAAAATGGGCCGTGGCTTAACCCAAAAGCCAGCCCACGCTTAAAAGAGCAAGACACATACCAGCTTAACCACCAGACATACAGATGGTTACATATACAAAATGTTGCAGCACATATTAACATTTTGTTCAATAGTATGCTTTACCCTACATTTCGCTAAGCCTTTATTAAAATGCAATATCAGAAGGCATGCTACTCTTCCGGACACATATATTAGAGAGGATAAAATGATGTAACTCCTTCGGTGTGTTTCACAACAGTACATATTTGCCGTTCAAGTTGTGCTTTGTAAAAAAAGCTGAGTGGTCAATGCGAATCTAGTGCTTGTGGAGTATGTCGACCGTTCTTTGGACTATTGCGATTGCATCTCAATCTTCAAAGCCCATGTAAAGTCTGTCCTCCTTATCAATGCAAAATAAAGCTTCTTAGATCCACTCTTTACTTATGAAAACTAAGGCTAAGGGTCAAGAGGGTAGGGCAAAGGATGTGAAATCCCAAGCCGATAGCACTAACATAAACGCCAGAGCATCTGCCACCATTACTGAGAGCTGGACAGACTAGGCAGTATCAAAACCTTCTTCTCTTTTAAGGAGCTTTATCAGCGGTCAACTCTGTGAGCATTCTGTACAAGCAATTATACTATAAACGGTGCTATTAGAACATTTTTATGGGCTATATGAGCCAGTTATCATAGTCTAGGTGATCAAGGTAGGCTACTCAACCGCAGAGTCACTGATCCCCTCATTAGCTTCAGCTGTAGCTGGGGTTCCGATGAGTTTAGAAGAAGAGGGATTTTAGCAAACAGGACCCTTGATGACTATTTGGCCCTAATGGATAGGTAGTGAAACACTGAATTTTGTAAAAAGGAAACCACAGCACTTAACACGGTCTCAAAGAAGTTTTTCTGTTCACAGGTTTTAATCCCTTGTTATGATGGTACATGTAAAACCCAGAACTGCGATAGAAGCCGAAGGCATATGCTAAGCTCAGTTTCCCCATGGTAAAGGAAAATCAAGGTTTACCTTTAAAGTCCATTTACCTCATTTGCATCGAAAACTTTGTTGGTAATGGCGTGAAGGTACTTTTACCTTCTAATGCCACCGAATGTAGCATCCCAACAGTCCTCATTCGATAGTTGAAGCCAGGATTCTTGCCGAAGTGTATACTTTCGGCCAAAAGGGAGAAGGTGATGCTTTTGCATGGCCCTGATGTCCGTCATCTATAACTTTAGTTCGACAGCCAAATTAATAAATTCAAAGACTTGATTCTCAAAGCATACTGTAATATATATTAATGAGTTTAAGTTACCTGAATTGGGGAGGGACGAATTTTTGTACGTGAGGAACGCGAGAATCTTCCAGCGGAGTGATGATGCCTAATAAACCTTCTCCAACCAATCCTCTCATGAAGCCAGAGGTTCAGGTAACCGAGGAAATCTCACATTGGTGGCAGGGCCAGTCGACATCCAGAAACACGGAACTTGATGACCGCTTTCTCCTCGCAAAGGCTGACCTCGAGTTCTGCTACCCTGCTCGGAGAATGCCTTTGCCACTTCGCGCCTTATTGCATGACCAACACTGCAAAGCGATGGACGCAGATATCACTCTCACCTCAGACGTAGAAAAATGCTCTGAGGTCTTCGCCAACAGAAGAATCAGTTTTTGCTTCTGACTTTTTCAGCATTTTCAGAAACCTGAAAAGTAAAATGAGAAGTTCGCGAGAAGTTTTCAGTTCTTCAAAGACTGCTGTCCTCTCGGCGTTACCTCATGGAGGGCGACCTACCTGCCTTGACAGAACGACTAGTTCAGATGAGAACAAACAGAACGAGTCGTCTTTTCAACGGAGTTCAGCACCCCTAATCATTCGTACACTCGCGACAGACGATTATCTTTCGACAGGAAAAGGCGTGCGCATCCAAGGGGTTCCCCTAAGCAAAGCAAGTCACAGTTTCCTTGGTCGTGTCTGCTTCCCTCTCGATCCCTTACTCTAGTGCGGGTATGGGGCAAAATGGAAGGCCGCACATGCACTTTCCTTTTGGACTCAGTGGCAGCATATTTGTTGCTAAACCCCTAGGACTTTCCGAGTATTAGTAACAAGTTATGTATCGCTCTGCAGAAGGAAAAGAAATCTCGGTAATATGAGAAGCATCTATCAGAATCTCAGTCGGGAAGGAAGGTTGGGAGGTGAATTCCGTGCTATTTCCAGACCTCGCCTGGGACGTACTGTTAGGAGTCGACTTTTTGCACCAAACCCATCGAAGGCCCACGAATAGGGTACCGACCTCTCAGCAAAAGAAAGATGCAGACGACTTTGCAGGTTCCTCTAAGAGATCTCTGAGTTCCACTAAACCCTGTTACCGACGATGAGAGGAAGGAACTGCACTCGCTCCTAAAGAATTACTCGCAAACATTGCGCGGACTATTCCTGAAACACTGCATTACTTATCTTGACAACGTCCCCGTTCCCAGGAGAGGAATCCAGCAACATAACTTCAATCTCCGACTAGTATTAGGTCGCCCTTGGAAAGGAGGCCTGACGCTAAAAACCGAAGATTTGTAGCTTTCTTTTGAATGCACTCAAGTTTCTGAAACGCATTATTTGTGCTGACGGCATGGCGGTCACGAAAGACAGAAAAAGGCCGTGTGAGAACGTGGCCGCAGTTTCCTTGGTATGGCTAGCTATTATCGGCGTTTTGTCGGGGATTTCGCCTATATCGCGGGTCCTCTCTCCAAGTTAATTAAGGCGTAGGCGATGAAGGAGTTTTGTTTGGAAAACGACCATGCAGATACGATACCGCTTGTGGTCTTACCGAACCTCGATGCTGATGCTTCACAGTTTGTGCTGGACACAGATGCAAGCGATGTTGCGATAGGCGGAGTTCTATTCCAAAAAGACAAAGACGGGAGAGAAAAAATGGGTCGCATACGTCAGCTCACCCCAAAGCAACAAGACAAGACAGAAGTGTGCAACAGAACGAGAGTTGTTCGTCATTTGTACAATGATTAGGCAGTTTAACCACCACTTGGCAGGAAAGCAGTTCGTCGTGAGGACAAACCATCAAGCACTGACATTGTTAAAGACGAGGAAGGAGATCGACCGCTCGGTTGCAAAGTGGTACGAAGAACTCTAGCAATACAATTTCATAGGAAAAGAAGCTCTCTTGACAATGCAGATGCCCTGTCATGGAGACCTTTCACCTTCCACCTGCTTTTGAGCGAAACTATCATCCGCCACTGGAGAAAGAAGTAGAGCTTCGACACCGATACAGCTCTAGTTTATGAGAGACATAGAACATCCTCAGCCAAGCCCACAATTGAGGAGATGAGCTAGAAAGCCAAAAAATATAGCAAAATTGGGAAAAACTTTTCCCAGAGGATGACAGTGCGGTAAGTCTCAAACGCCTGGAGTCACATGAGCAACTTTACCATGCGGGGGACGGGAGGATGGTTCACGCTGGCATCGGATGTCTCCGATTTTCATCGCATGCGCTCCACGTGTACCAGTTTTAAGAAGCCACAGCGCACCGTGGTAGCCCCTATACAGTCGATGCTCACGGGCTTTCCAGAGGAGCAAGTAGGCATCGGCTCCAAGAGAGAATCGTTATAGTTTGGTGATGGTTGCCGAATCATTAGAGGCGCAGGATGCTGAGTCAGTGACAACCGCATTCTTTAACTGCTGGATCTGTCAACACAGCGCACCTGATTCTGTGCAAAGCCTTTGGAGTCCGTAAAACGTGTACTACGCCATGTCACTCTCAGGGCAGTGGGAAAGTAGAAAGGACAAATCGTACTCTTATGGACCTTCTGAAGGCCTTTCCCAATGGAGTGCAGCCCGAGGATTGGAATCTGCACCTACGACGGGCTCTCCTAGCCTACCTAGCCTCCGCCCACAGCTTGACTGGTATCTCACCTTTCAAGATGCTAAGGGGTAGTGGTTTGAGAGTTCCTTCGCACGTTCCTCTTCCTCAGAAGAAACCGTTAGTGAATAACAGTTCTTATTATATCTTACGACTAAAGGAAAACCTCAGGAAAGTGTTTGATACCGCGCGCAGACAGCTGCAGAAAGCATGTACAGGGCAAATGAAGTCCTACGATGGCGAGAACCAAACGGCTATAGCCGTAAACTACGGGATAGCATAAAACCAGTCTAGTAAAGATGTTTATTCATCACAACGGTTTAAAAATTCGCTTGCTGTACCACAACAGTGGAGCATGCAGCCATTTACCAAGCATTGTAATACTTTGTTCACATGGATACATGACGTTTGGCAGTCACTTTGGGATTTGTATGGCCCTTGTAAACGTGGTCTGGCCCTCAGATCATGCTCAAGTCCTTTGGATCTGTTCATTTTGAAATACATATATTCAGCCTCACTCACTACCTTCTTCCACTCAATGGGATGTCTCGGGATGCTACAAGCATGGCTGTAATTCCTTCCATCCTACGCTCAGAATCAGGAATCTCTATCCTTGATAAGGAGTGGATTGCTTTGGGAAATTTCAGTAGGCTTCCCTTACGGTGTAAAAAGTTTGGGTAGAGTTTGTAGCCTCCCGAGACTTCCCACAGGTTAGAATAAGACAGTAAGTGCAGTCGAATACACGTATTTTAGGGTGAACAAAGGAACCAGGTCTGGGCTTGGCCCTAATGCCGACCCACGCGTATAAGGGCCAGACGAATTTTAAAGTTACAGCATAAACAAGGTATTACAGGGTTAAAATGTTACAGCGATGAAGGATCCTTACGTTCTTCCAGCACGAGATCGGTGTTAAAATGTTGGCCTCCCTTCTGCAAGAACAATTTAAACCATAGTAGTATGCAGCGCTACAGCACTCTGCATAAAATTACTGTTCAATTTATTTGTAGGTTTGTCCAGGAATGCGTTCTGATATAGGAGCATTGATTTTGGGCGTCGCTTTCTGGACTCCTACTTTAAGTGTTAGAACAACAACCTTATATTTTCAAAACTAAGGTGTTAATCACTTTTGTGATTTTTCTAACTTATAACATGAGAATAGATCTCATTGGTAAACGCTTCCAAAATGGATATACAAATATGTTCTCCTGAATTCCTCTAAACTTTAAAAACGAGTGGATATTTTGTGAAAGCAATCACTCTACTTGCATGGTGAAGAACAAAAAAGAGCCTTTCTATGTGTAGGACTACCCGGCCTATCCTCAGGCACTTAAATCTCTGACTTTACAAGAGGATCGTACGGGAAAGGTTTATTAGACATCTTTATTCCGCGGATGTCTTTGCGTTCCTCGTAAACTGGATTTGTGTCGAAATTGAATTCACGCCTCTCACCCATAAAGGCAAACTCAAAAAAACCAGTATATATTTCACAGCCCAGTCTCCGCTGCTGGCCAGTAGAGTTCCGCCATGTGGCTTTCACTCCCCTGCCAACGCATAAACTTTGTCTTCGTAACCGACCTGGGGTGGACCCGTATATGACTTAATCTTGTTATGGTGTACTGTTAAAGGCTGACTGACGATTCCCACATTCCGGATGAGGTAGTTCGTAGTCGACAGGACTTTAATCATTAGGTGCGGTTCCTTGTGCCAGGAGTGTTATGTTAATATTGAACATATTCTAAACAAGCAATGTTACAAATTGTAAGTTCGATAAAATTTGTACAAATAATAATTGTTCGTCGCAAGACCCTTTTACTTCTAAAATTCTAAATTCGAAGTATCGTTGCTTTCTTGCTTTGAATCTATGACCATAGTAGTTTCAGTAAATCTATAAAGGTTATGAAATAGATGAGTTTCAAGCTTTCTCAATGTCGTTGCCATTAGTTACGCTTTGTTGTATGTGATGCTCTAGTGTGGATTTATAATCGAAGCCATGTGCTCAACCATAATTAATCTTTCTGAGCATGAACTCGAGACACTGGATTATTCATATGAAAATGCAACCGCGATAATCCTTGATAAAAACAACATTCGTGACATAAATACGATTTCTTTCATGACAAATGTTCAGCAGGTGCGATTTGGATTCTCATCAAAACGAGTCGATTGCAGCTTTCAATTGCGAACAATTTGCTGAGAGATATGAACGGGTTGGAGAATCTTACCAATATAACAATCCTAAATCTTGCTTATAATGAGATTGAAACAATAGATTGTATGTTGTGCTTTTTGGGTTCTTTAGCTTCGTAGACTTGGACTCGCTTACGCATCTCACGTGGCTGAACTTGTGTGGGAATCGTATCACAGTAAATTCATAGCTAGAGCTGTTTTAACCGTACTAGAAAATTGAAAATCTATCCCACAATTTCGCTTTGAAGCACTTAGATTTATCAGAGAATGAGATTGAACAGCTAGGCGATCTGTCAAATTTATTAAAACTGAAGGTATGTGGTGGTTATTTTAGTGGATATCGTCTTTTAGACGTTGCTTCTCCATTGCAATCGAATTGCAACATTGAAAACGGCAGAAGCCTTTCTCCCTCAGTCTTTGTGTATCCTGTCATTGGCTGAGAATGACATCCCCAATTTAACTGAGGTAAGGCACTTTTGCGCTATTTATTGGAAAAACGTAGTTTAAATACCTTGCCCGCTGTAGATCCCTCCTTCAACTATCAGTACAGGGCAATTTGTGTGCATTTAATCAGTATCCTTTTCAGTTCTAATTAACCACACTGTCTCTAAAATCGGTCCTTTTGCCGCATATGCTACCGGGTCACATGAATGTAGCCTTCATTCTTAATCAGCTCATGACAGTCGACTGCTTGCGTTAGTCTAAACGAGCGAACCAATGCGAGATATCTTTGGTCAGATGATTACATCTTGCCTGCTTGAACTACTGGCTGTAGGAATAAAGCACAATAAGTACGTTCATAGTGTCCTATTTTTGATTTTAACGCTATCAGAACCTCCAGTTAGTTTTTACTTAAATACGCATGTTTACCTCCTGACTCTGGGCTAAGAATACCTCACAGTCGGAGTTACATCCTTGCACTATTACCAACTTTGAACTTTATTGATGGTAATCAACCTCTGCAAGACGAAAGGTGAGTGCACTCTCAATGCTCTAAGTAAATGCTCATCTCAGGTTGTTAGGTGAATGGATAGCAGGATCCGGCGCTGTTCACAGGTGCAGCACTGGAGGTGAAGCTGCTCTCATTGAATTCTTGCACAGTTTGGATTCAGAGGTAAGTTTTCATAATCACAACAGCCAAAATATAGTAACGTGAAATAGCATAATTACTATCTTCTTAAAATACCAAATGCATTGCCTTTTTGCCCGTCTCGTTCCAGTCACCGCATCAAGTGGGACCAAGATTCCGCCAACGGAGCGACGTCACACCTTATGTTGCCTGTTCGAGTGCATCTGTGTTGAAATGCGGCCTTACCGCAACGAATGACAACACCACTCCTCCTATTTCACGTCGTGATACACCCCCAAGATGGTTGCAACGAGCGCGTAGTGCACAAAATGTTAATGCGACCGCTGCCGTCGCCGCTTGTGAGTATTTTGTAAGGTTGAGAATTTACTTGACTGGCTGGTCATTTCTACCCTACCACTATCGTTTGGATATCTAGAAATAATGACTGATGGCGTAATTTCGACTCCAAATATCATGGTTACCATTTTAACTGAACTCTCAACTAGTGGCTCAGTTCATGTCTATCTCAACATTCACAGAGAATTTTAGGGATGAGTAGTGAAATTTTTTAAGATGCCTAGGCGTAGCAAGGTTTGGAAGTGGTTTGGATCACACTTACACGAAATTGTCGAAAAGCTATTGTGTTTTGCCTACCGCTCTTAATGAAGAGCTTAACAAGTCTGGAGTCGAGTGTTTTGGAAACTGGGCTGACGTATTTGGTGCTGATCGCTATATCGCATGCTGGAATTCTCCATAGCGCTATCGTGTAGTGGTTCCCTTAAAGCCTATCTGTCCCTAGTGGGTGTGAGTTTCGCAAGCAATGTCTTTTATCACTGTACGGTTTTGAATAGATGCATTTGTAACCTTTATTGCTCGCTAGCCATAAGCATTGGTTTCTAGGCTGACTCATTACATTTTTATTGCTTATGAGTTGGACCTACTTAACACTGCTATTTTGGTGGTCTTATAAATGTCAACACTTTGTTGCTCCCATTGATGCCTATTAGACTTACGACTATATCTTTCTTTTATAGCTATATGCCTGGCTGACTCTGCCAACGGCGTTAGGGTAAGTTTGTCACAATGATCGAGTGATTATACTACTTACAGACCCTGTTGCAAGTTTATCTGCACTAGTTCTGTATAGTTGGACTTAGCCGGTTCGCTCAATTCATCTAACCTTTAGAACGTAAGGCCTTTCCAATGCCAACCACAAATTCCTGCAGCCTCCTGCAACGCGATTCCCACCCTCATGAATCCTTGGTACGTTACTCCGATCTATTTTTCAAGGAAAAGAGAGCTCAGTTTTTGCACTTAACGCTTATTTTCCATCTATCCTAGTGTTCCACATCTTCTTCGTTCCGAATCAGTCTTCATTCCAATCGATAGTAGGGTGGAATTTGAAGAGATGGGGGCTGAAGCGACAGTGGGATCTCCAAAGAATGTTGCGCAAACGGTTTCTGTTGACTTGCCTGCTGATTGGCACTCTCAAAGCGCTTATGGGCCAATACGGTAATTTGTGTGATCAAATATAGCTACTAATTTAATTTAACTAGCACTTATTTATTCTCCATTTTGGACCAGAAGTGAGAACATACCTGTGTTGACCGACACACAGAAGACACATTACTCGCCACACTTTTTGAGGAGTTTGACAGCACTTTCCCAAAAATTGGAGTCTGTTTCCAGTTCCATTGGAGAGACAAAAGAAGTAGATCCCAAAGCCAGGTAAGCTTAACCTTAGTGTTTGATATTAGAGAAATACGGGTAGCTAATTGGATTTCCAAGTACACTGATAGAAAAATCTCACTTGAGAATGAGGCATGAATAGCTAATGATTTAAGAGGTCTCATAGGAAATAACATTGTCTTGTGTGTTATTATTTTAAGCTCCTCTTAATTATGACCTTTTGGGTACTGGACACCTGCATTCCAGATACATAGGGAATAAAGATATAATGATTTTTGAGAATCTGCTTTCTAGAGGCTATGAAGCTTGCGGATTGGAAAGCCCCTTGAATGGTCTCAAAATGATGCAATTAACTATTGACGTGTAGTGCTTTAACGGTATAAATACCTTAACTGACTCTAGGTACTTGATTCCTTCTTATTTGAGTGGCTGTTCTCGCCCGTTTTATTGACTCAGACTTATGTAAATGAAAGTCCCTAAGTGGTTCCTGAAACCACCTTTCCTGAAACCTGAATTATAATAATTTCTTCCTCTTTAGAGTGTAGCCTTTGAAGAATTCTGTGAACTGCCACATCTCTTTTATAAAACCTGTAAAAGATGCGCGAGACTATTCCAAGTTACCGGTTTTTTTTCTTTTGAAATTGCCAAATCAGCTGTCGTTTATCTGCAAACGTTAGTGGTGTTAATAGCAGTGTCATGACTAACAATTCCGTCTTTTGAATGCAGGAAATCTTCGTCGGTGCCTGACGTGGAGAACAATCGACACAGTGACGCTTCTCCGGTTCATCGACTGCAGTTTTCGTGTGGTGTCCTATCCTCCTTTCTTCAAAATCGACCTCACACCGATGACGGACCTGCTATCAACGTGATATCAGAAAAGGCTGAACATCAGTGAGAAAATCTGTTGTTTTGAAAAAGGACTGTAACCGCTGCTAGAGCGTCCAATTTAATCAGTTTCAGTGAATCAGTAATTTGACATTCATTTTATGTCTCCTGTTACTTGTGTCTTTACTTTTAGCTCCAATGATGAAGCTACTGACAATTGCAGTCCTCTGTCAGAACACACTTTTGTTGTTGGTAAGCGTGGTCTTGAATAGGAGCGTTGTATTTTATAATTATACTTCCCAAAATTCAATAAAACGCTTGTTGCCTTTTAAATAAATCCGTAAACAGCGTATCTATGCATTGCAAAGCATTCGGAAATTATTCGCATGAATGCTCTTTAGGACTTCTCTAGACATCTGTTTAAGGCAACAACTTCGATAGGAGAAAGTTTTTTGGTAGTGAATTGTGAGAATCGGATAAGCCAATCTGCCTTTCTCTACCTTGCGTACAAAGTATGGCTTGTTTTATTTTTTTTTCGCTGATAGACCCACCGTCAGAGGCACCTAAGTTGCCTGAAGGTCTGGAAGCAAAGGTTCTGGCGTTGCGACGTCAATTAGAGGATCTTCGAGTACTCTCAGCCAAGCAAGAGCGTGAACGTCTTCGGCAAGCTAATGATATTCGACGTCTTGCTGAGGAAGTGGGTCTTTTTGCTTCGATTACTAAATTTTTTGAGGTGTGGTATGAGGGTAGCAGAATAAAGAACTCTCAAAGTGGAATTTGAATAAGGCCATTGCATTTTCCCAGTCTTTCCCATAAATTGGATGCCATCTCTTTTGGACGAACCTTCATTGTCTTTGTTAATTGACATTCGTGTACTAGCGTTTGTCAATAATTACTTCTCTTGGAGTGATGGGGTAATTACTTTAAGCCTCCATCAGTTGGAGTAGGGAAATCGTAATTGAGAATTAGCAAATCAGTTAAAAATGACTATGTTTTGTCACACTGCTTTCACGTGTATCGGCGGGCGTGTTGTGCATTAATGAATGTTTGCCTACCGAGGGAATGGCTTGGATCACATAAACATAAACATTATTCATCCTCCAAATGGTTAACTCTCGACCCATTTTATCCTTTGAAGGTCGAGATTGACCCACGCTGGTGGGCATTCATGCACATTCCAGTGTCTCTCCAGGTGACAAATCGGCTATAGGTAGAGGTCGAAAAGCATATTAATATCTTTTAATTTCAGGTGCGCAGCTTGAAGGTGTGGAAAGCCTCCGTCCTGCAGCACCGGGACGTCAATCATCCCGCTGCAGGTGACTGCAAACACCATGCGTTCCAATCGGTGACGGATCCTAATCTGGCCTCTCAGAGGGTCTGGAGCGTGCACACTTCCACTGTCTCACCTTCACTCTCCACGTTGGTAGCCATTAACACCTCGTCTCCCACTAACGCTACGGAGAACTTTGGCGTGGCTACTGTGTATGACGTGGAAGGGGAGGAGGGTGAAGGCGACGAGGAGGTTGAAGAGTGAGTGTAATACTTCAATTTGTTTGCATGGCATTTTGGACTCCAAATGTTTGGTTTATAGGCGCTGACACGGGTGAATTCTGGTAGAAGTGGTTTTATATCGACAAACACCATGTGATTAGAATAGCGTAATACGTGTCAGACGATAAAGAGGTGGCTGGGATTTCTTCTTCTCTGCAGAGGATTTTCTCTAGCGCCGTGTGCCTCTATTCAAAGTAGAGCTGACAGTACAGCTTTTCGTGTGCTTGGTGTCAGGATCCTCTGAAGTTGTTAATTTGTATAATTGGAAGGAGTTGATTTTATTAAAGGCGCTCTTACCGCCCGTTTCGGCTCCATTTCTACAGGCTTATCACTTTATTATCGGCCCTGTAATGACTACTAGGACCCTTAAGGTCTGCGTGGGTCTGTAACTGGCCTATGAGATGACTGAAATTCAATATCACTTCCGCATACTTAGGACAGCAACGCTTTGTGAAGCCTCGGATGATGGCGAATGCGGGCTTGTCAATGTGTTTTCATCAGTTGACAAGTTTAAATACAATACTTTTCGTATTCCATTAAATCTTGACCCCTATAATGCATTCCTATGCAAATTTCTCTCCACTTTAAGTCCGCTTACTAGGTGCGCTTCCCTTCACCTCCAAAATTTTACATCGTTTCAAGTTATTAAATCACAAAAGTTCAAGAGTGTGATGTAAATCTGCCTGCCTTGGAAAACAGGTGTCACTCCTCTTCATAGCGATTAAAGGTATTATATTCAATTTCGGGAAGAGTCTACGAAATAGCGAGTTGAACTGATGGAAGGCCTACTTGTTTCGCATCAAAACAGACCCTTTTTCCCGGCCTGCACTTCCATCACCCGGATGGGGGAAATCATCACAGAGCGTTGGGAAGTGATTATCGCACTTCTTATTAATTGTGGTTCTTCACCGCCTTTGGCTTACTTTATGAAAATGAGGTGTCTATTTGGCTTTGTCCACTGAAGGAAGAATCTCTGACACCCATTTTTATACAAGACTCTATTGACGGATGATCGTATTTATTTTGTTTACCGCTGTGACTACTCTACTCTTCAGCGTTTGATGGTAACAGTCAGCGTAGGCAGAGCAAAAGACAAAACTCTCTTATAGTTCTATCTCCTAATTCTCTCTCCACAGTTGCCAGTAGTATGCGTGAGAGACGGCGCAGGAAGTAGGCCGTGATCCTGTCTTCCCTCCCTACTTCAGCGTTTGTCCTGATGCTGGTCATAGCAAGTACACCTGAAAGTCGTCGCCCTTTGAGAGTTAGCCGTAATGCTCCAACTGATTCGCTTTGAGGGAGGGTCTGATTTTAACTAGAACGAAGGTAGAAATAAATTACATTCCACGAATTGATATTTTGGCCTCGAAAGACACGGCAATTTGTTTTGTTGTGATGCATTTCTCTGTTCAAGGCCGCAGACTCGAATGCGAATTTCAAAATAAAGCAAAAAAATAGGAATTTCGATGGAATTAATTCCAGTATTTTATTGGGTGTTTAAAAAAACCGCATCTGCTTTATCACTTTTGAATTCATTTATTAAAAGTTCTACAAATCCACTTACAATGCTGCCTTTGTTATTGCTCGAGCTGATCTGCTCAACCTCCTTCATCTACTGAGAGTTTGTTTGATCATTTTAACCCTAAAAAGGTAAACAGACTTTGGGTCTTCACCTGAAGGAGTTTGCTTATTTTTGTGACAGTTGCCGTTGTTCGTTGATAAGCGCACCATTGCGAGACCTAATTTGTCACTCTTCTGACACCACCTTACAGCCAATTTGACTTCCACCTCGAGCGAGGACTGCTGAAACCTGGTCCTAGTCACTACAGTTTCTGCATAATTTATTTCTCCTTCTGCCACCAATTACCACAACAAATTGTTTCCAAGAGAGGTGGCAGTGTGGTTGGCGAAGATGCAGCAGTTCAATGTGGCACGTCCTTTCCTAATGTGCGATGAGAGGTTGGAGTTCTATGGACAACTTTATCGTCGAAATGGGATACCTTCCAACAGTAGCGTTTTTATTAGAGGATTCTCTTGCCCTGACTATCTTTGAGTAGGAATGCGTCTTACCGCCAGGCACCGCACTTGGGCCTTGTAGATATGCTCCGGTTAATGAAGGATTTGAAGATCAGAGGTTATGCAATTGCCGATGGGTAGTCACATCTACGCACTCTTAAAACACACAAAATGCTTTGGAAAGTAATTGATGGATTGTGCGGGCACAAAAGCAAGTGACAATGCTACCATATTGTCCAAATTATCTCTTACATCATACCATTTTGTGCGTGCCGAAACAACAATTGGCTGCTTTGGGTTCTTGTCTTGTGTTTAGGATACGTGTTAATAGTCTTCGGGGCGTTTAAGGCTTTCCTATTTCTTTCGAATTTTCAATGCATTCATTTTATTGTTAAACTCTGACAACTGATGTTTTAAAGACCTTGTTAACAAGCCTGTGAGAAATTTAATGGTTGAGCAGTATACTTGGCTTCTGATTGGTGGCCCTACCACGTCGTCTGAACACGATTGGCTACTTTTTAACCAATCAACTTTAAACAAGTTGGCTTACAGTTTCTTTAATTTCCGGCACAGGAGCCCTGTCGATGATTTGGATAATGATGTTGTTGAGGTTGACGACTTTCCAGGACCGAGGGCTTCATCTTCCGACATTAATGGCACCCTTTTAACAGCCAACATCTCTACCGATAGTCTTGACACGCGTCGTTCACGTCTCTCTACCCCAATGAGTTTTGACACCTCGCCCATTCGCTTGAGGAATGTAGAAGTGAGTACTTTCTGTCTGCATTGAAGTTTACAATTGAATTTTAAAATAATTAGTGGGAAAACTGTCTCATCGAACTCGGCTAAAGACAGACTATAGCTTGATTGCGTAATTGTGGGTGGTCAAACTTAATGTTTCATATTTCTGGCTTTGTTTCAGGATCGTCAACTTGCCTCTGAGTCCGTCCTTCTTCCAACTGATGCTATTTAACTGTGATGCCAATCTATCAGTACCAGGCAATTGATGTGCCAGTTGCATGTAAAGATTGAGGTGATGTATGTGATTGGTGCGAATAAAACTGTTGATTGGAGGTAGTTCTCTCATTGCTTGCTTGCGAGGTGGCAATTCCATCACCACTTCCTAATTAACAAATTTCTTGCAATTCCGATGATAATCAGACTATTCAGTTTGATTATTCTGATGTATCATCGGTGTTGCCTGATCCTATCATTGCTACACTTCTGCTGGTACTCGGGTTTCTCGAAACATCTTGTCCCACTATTTTCCAACTGTCGATCGTGTAATTTGCAAGCACTGACAAACCTAAAGATCCCACCTTTTGCAAAAATCTTTCAGCTATTCGTGAGGTCGTGCTATCAAATATTCCCTACTACCGTTTGGTATCCTTCAGCCACCAACATTCCTGCAAAATCTTACCCTTTTACAAGAAAGTACAGTCTAATGGGTATCCAACATTAACCACTAGCTAAAGTTAAGGCTGGAATTTGTGAAGACTGCAGCATCAGCATAGAAAGCAGATCTGTGAATTGTGGTGGTCATTAACTTTCTATAAATCCTCCTCGTTTGTCGGGGTGATGGGTCGACTCCTTCAGAAAATACAATATCACCTGAGGGGAGTCGTGGTAGGCAGGCGTGGATTGCTGAGGAAATGCTAAAGAGACCGTTGAACTGAGGTCCACTGCTCGCGGTTCCTTCAACCTAACGGTCGAATCCGAGGCAAGCGACATCCATTTAAACGAATAAACCAAGTGTTTGTAAATAATTTGCACGCCTCGATTCAGTGATAGAAAAGGAGGAATCACAATTTAAAGTTTGTGGCAGTTTGTCAGATTTTACGAGAAGAAGGAATAAGAATCTTTGCGAAGCCTTATTTAATGGTCCCACTTTGACGTTGATGCGGTCGTTGGTGATGAGGGAGTACCTTGCCCCAGTCAGGTTTGAGCAGCAGCGCATTTCACAGGCGAGAGGTGACTCGGACAATCGCCTCTGCGCCGTCAGAGTGGAAAGTTAGCACTGGACCTTTCTTTGGTGGATGATTGTAGCACCAACAAGTGCGGTGGAACAGAAGGCTAATCTCACCAAACGCTACAGGTGGTATAAAAGCGGTAAGCCGTAAAGCATGCTTAATCACTAGATTCTCCGCATCATTATTGTGCCTACTACCTCCTTCTTTTCTTCAACAGCAACGCTATTCATGAAGCTTGGTGCGGTGATATCTTTTAATGTAGTCTAACAAATGTGCCATTTTGATTGCACCCAGCGACTCAGATGCCGCACAGCATCGGTAGCTTCAACCGTCGTACCCATTGCACGCTTTATTCGGGTTTCAAGGAAGTATCAGATCTCCACAACTTCCCAGACATTTGATTTCCCTGATACGAGCGCTGGTACATATTTTCGTCAGATTTGGAGCCCTTGATTTTACGGTGATGCCATCGTAATGGTTTTCGAAACGGTTGTGGTTGCCAAGGTGACAACATTATGTTGCAGTAAACGGTGCAAAGAACGTGGAAGATCTGGAGCATTATTTGTTCGTCTGATGGTCGGCCGCATTTCGTGTTGACAAATGCGGTTGGCCTATAAATGTTAAAATTTGCGAGAAGCTTCGATTGCGTTGTGAGAACGAGAGAATTGCTAAAACCATCACCTCTTTTGTCCGGAATGGTGTCAGTGCTAGCAGGTATTTTCGTTTCCTTGTTGGCCCTCTATCAATTCTCCACCCAGACGGAGGCGAATCCGCATGAGTGGGACATGCAACCACTCACAAGTTCTTGACTGAAGCAGAACATTTCGCCGCACTTATTAATGAGAAGAGTGTTTTCTGCTTTATTTAATGAGGATCAGTTACATCAGCAAGTGATGGAATTGTTTCCTTTAATGTTCCATAAGATCGTTGAACTCAAAGCCATTTTGTTTGCTGCCTTCTGCAACCTGACTCCCGCTGTGCTTCCTTGGCCATCCAAAAGTGCACTTCCAGGTTCGACTTACCAACAATTCAAAACAGGTTTGCAGCGGAAGCACATCTTGCTAGGCATTTTCAGACCGATTGAGTGGTGTCTGTGGAAAAAAGTGGGCAGGCAGGAAGTGGACAGGTATTCAGTCGACTTAAAAAGAGAGGTCTTTATCAGGGATGAGTCTCACTTTTGTTCCGTAGGCGTAGACATGAATAAACCGATGTTATCGCATTGGGGATGTTTTTCAATAGATTCAAGTGGCTTCTATCTTATCCCTTGTCCCATAAAATACGACGTGGGCTTACACATTATCAAACGACATTTTTTACCATATCACCGGATTTACATTAAAACGATTAAAATGAATTTCCGCGAACATAAAAATGCCTGGATCTTCAGCGTTGATGGATGCCACGGTCAAAGCTTTCAGGCGATTTCATATTCTTTTTAGAATGTTGCAGATATGTGCTGGAGCATGACGGTCGATTTCGAGGTAGCGAAAACAACCATTAATTTTGTTGTACATTTGCTTCATTTTGAAAAAAAAATTAAAAATGTGGAATTTCGAGCCTATCAGATAAACGATTGTTCAGCCCACTGAGAGCAGCCACGCGAGTCATTAGGAGAGCACTCTGATCAGCAGCATCATGCATTGCACGAGGTTGTCGTCCTCACATCTCCACATTGTGCACTCACACGAAACCACGTCGCCGTCACATACTTCAAACTGCCGCCGACCCACGATGCCGATCCCCACACATCACCCACCTCCACACAAATGAACACATCAGTTGTCAAGGCATCCCATCTACCATCCTCTCATTTTCCACTCCTCTAAACTCGTTCTCAAAGTGCGACCTCCTCCCCTCCACCATCAGTGACAAGGAGGTGAGAATGAGGACAAGGAGGAGGAGGAGGGGGAGGAGGAGAGACGAGAGAAGGATGCATGAACACGAAGAGAATGGCAACCGCCGCACTTTC